TTATCAATTACGCTCGAAAACCAAGCGCTTAGCACCGCGAAAACTCAGACAATACTTTTTTCTCCGATCTTCTAAATTAGATATCTTGTTTACCTCCAGTGATTAACGCGACCAATCGCAGAAGTTTACAACAAAAGTGGTGAATACACGGATTAACATATGTTTTAATTGTTGCGTTTGACTTGTAACACGTGTGTTGCGGACGAGCTTTGTTTCACTCTTGTTCTCGCATAGTTGGGTCATGTCGCCCTTATATTTGTTATTGTTTGGATGTGTAAAGGTCACGTGTGAAGCACAGTTTTAGGCTTTTTTCAAAGCGCGTGGCATAAAAGAACTTTTTGTTGAACCCTATGTATGCTAACTGAAGAACGAAAAATTAAAGTAGAACTGCATGTCTAACATTTTTTCTGGATTACAACTGTTAAGACCTGTAGCTAAGTAGTAGCAGGTATTTTGAGCTGCAGAGACACTCTTCTTCTCGAGATTTCTGTTTAATAAATCAATCGGAAATTATGGACCTTTCAATTTCCTGCCTTATGAAGCATTAACCTTTTCTGATCGAGTCGTCGGGGTTTATTAGAAATTTGTCTTTTGAACGTGTTTCGCCTCATGAATTAAGGAACAAGTCACGTACAACAGACGGAAAAAACGGCTTTTCATTTCTATAAATTTCTTCAAAAACCTTTGGGATCATAATTCTTTTTCAGTGTGAATATGCCTCATTGTATTTCTTTATCCTTTTGAACCTCTTTTGGAAATGACACCCATGTGAGTTAGAAAAAAAAGATTTTAATTAATAAATCCCACACGAATGGAAGAAAGGAAATAGAACCCCGGTCCTTTCTGCTGAATCCCTAAGCTACGGATAGAAAATATGGCTTTTTCAATGTAGATCTTGGTCGTTAATTAGCCGAGAAGACATAAAACAATGTCCTTAAGACACACGTTAAACTCATTTTGTGTGCAATTTATTAATTTTTTTTTTTCGATTGAAAAGCGTTTTTCAAAATTGTGAAGACTCAAAATCGATCCGTGGAATGAATATAGTCTTTCAATGAATGCCCAAAGTTGGTTAGGTGAATATTGATGTAAATTGTTCCTCGTGATGGGTAGCATGGTTTTAAAGAGCCTGACATAACGCATCGGTGATGGTAACAGATTTAAATCCTTTGATTAGAGAGGCTTATTTTGCAAATAGTTATCCTTAATTTAGCAGGTTTTTCTAAACATTGTTTTGGTTAGTGAAAGGAAAGGATACGTTGTCACCCAAACGTTTCGCCAGCGGACAATGATTTGATCTAAGTTTAGCCTTTTTATTCAAAGTTGAGGATTTGGAACAGTCTCTTTTTACGTTCCTTTCTTTCCATTCCTTTCATCTTTGGACCTGTTCTTTGTGTTGTAATCCTTATGTTTAGTAATCTTTTCGTCACTGGTGCCATGTCTGTTAAATCCTTTTGTGGACGATCTTGTGTTTCCCTTGCGCTCTCTTGTTTCTTTAATCTCATCATTGATCTCAAATTTTTGTATTCATTTTCGTTGCTCTTTGTTTTTTGACCTTGTATTGTTTCGCCTTAATCAATGATACCATAAACATTCTGGTTCCTCAAAGATCAGATATGTCAATTCCACGAACTTCATATTTCGTTACTTGTAAGCTTCTTGTGAAGAATTTTCGGCACTGGACAGCGCTAAGCGTTTTGAGAAGTGAGCGCAGTAAATTAAGTAGTTTTCCTCCGTTACAAAGTCAATTATTCACCTTAAGTGCGTTATTGTGTCATGTGATGATGACACGTGCAAACGGGTACAATGAGAAACGCCCCAAATTCTTTTCGTGGCCAAGTTTACACTACAGATTTCAGAACAAAATGAAAGATGCTCGATAGTACATTTCCCAAAACAAACAAAACGACATATGGCTATATTTTGTAATAAAACGTTTATGTTAAAGTTACCATTCGCGAAAATTAAGTAATGATAAAACAAAAGTGTTGGAAATTACAATAAAGTGTTCTTTTGCGTATTCTGGGTCGGTTCCATTTTTTTTTTCAAAAGTATGAATATTAGATTCTCTAAAGAGCGTAGATTTGTATAAACTTTTGCACTGTTCGCCACATGAAGTCAAACAAAGGCGAAGAAGGAACTGAGATCTTTCGCGAATAACATTCTTCACTCATATAAAGATTTCATAACGAGCGACTATTCGCATTCATAATTCAAGAAAACCTAATTCAATTAACATGCACACATCTACAAACTTGTAATGTTCTTCTTCGAAGCTTCGTTTGCTTTAATTTCCAGAATTAACAATTTCATAATATAGAATCTTTTCGTTTCTACGATCATCTTAATATCATTTTTGCTAAATAAACAGGCCGCAAAACGACAAATTATTTACTGCGATAATTGTGATTTTGCGCATTTGCGGGGTAAGCGATTTTGCTCATACGTAGTTGTGTGGGAAGTAACCTCGTCCATGACTCCGCATAAACTGAGTCTACAACGCGACGATCGTATGATCTTTTTTTCTTCTATGTGACAGCACAAAACTGCATTAACCTATTGCGCCATAGCCAAGCAGAATGTTTTGACCCGCTGGGCGATATTATCCTAATTTCCCGACAAGACGTGCGATATTACGTATCCCACAGTTCTCGCCTTGGGAAATAAAATCAGTTTTGACTAAAAAATTAACCTTGAACTAGGACTCGACAAGACAATGTCAAATCCTATGCTCCCATTTAAAAATAATTCTGTAAAATTTGCTTTGATATCTCAGCCTTAAATTTTTTACGCCCGGACACTTGAGTTCGTTGGCAAATCCCAAGCTAAGGAAAATCACCAAGTCTTACTTTGTATTAGTTGCGATATGTGCTTTTAATCACTGCGTGTATTTCAAGTTGTTGCATTTAAATTGTTCATGGTTCCTCCTTTTTGAAAATGGTGTCTTCATTGTACGAAAAGTCATTATATTATGACATTTTTTTAACTAACTTGGAAATTGTGTTTTCTCAGGGCAAAATCTTTTCTTTTCATTTCTTAATGATCAAACCGCAAGCAGTGTTTAATCGCTAGATCTTTCCGAGATATTGAACAGGACACACTTTGGAAGTGTCTTTAGCGTTTCACCCATTAGTTCGCACACAAAAAGCATGTCCTTATCTCAAGTCGCCGGTTTCCTGTGAAAGCTTCATGCGAGGTGATTGCTTATTTCTTTGAAAGTGCGGAGTGACGTCTCAAACCATTTCGAATGAACTTCTAGTATTTTCAATTTAAAATTTTGTTATTTTTTTTTCCATTATCAGTTATATCTCCGTCTTAGTATTTCGTAAGCACATTACAAAACAAGTTCTGAACTTGCTTCGTTATTCCGCACTGTGGTTGCGTGCAATTAATGGATTTAGCTTCTCTAGTGCCTTGTTTCTCAATGAACCCCCATTTGTATCTTCCTCGCCGTGCTATTAAATTTTTTCCTCACTTGATTTTTTGATCGCTCAAGTATGAATTTTTTGAAGCGCTTGGCTGAAATTTCATCGCTTTATTGGGTGTGTCGCTGCTTAAAACTCTTACAATAAGATCTTCAATCTGCCATAAGAAAGATGTAGCAAAGGAGTGTTCTTTTTTTATTATTATTATTATCGAACGCAGCCTTGTTTATTTGGTAGAAAATTTTAAGGCGCTCTATTTCAAACTTGAAAACGATGGTTATTGATTTTGTTTTCTCACAGACGCGCCTAATTAAGTTTTCCTGTCTTCTTCGGCTAAATTGTGTCTTGTTGGTAACTCGTTTTAAATCTCTTGCCAGAAATCTATTTTTTTTACGGTATTCTTGCTATTTTTTCAGTTTTTGTGCGCCGTTTTCTTTTTGTTTATGGGCGAAATTTTTCATTCGGCGACGAAGTAGAATCAGTTCGAATAAATCGGAAGGGAGGAATTCCCTATTCTCTTGGATAATACCTGTGAGACTCTCTCCTTTCACGAAAACGATAAAAACACCTGCCACCTCATTAGCATGAAGGAACCTTTCTGAAGCAATTAATTTCCCTGAACTGATGCGTGAAACTTTTCTTGGTACTTCCTGAATCTGAAAACTAATTCTCATCCCAACTCTGTGAAGCATTAGATAGAAAGCATTCACACTAAAAACATAAAAACAGAGAAACGCACTTTCAACGACATGCAAAAACGCCAGTTGGTGTTTCGCGAATTTGCAGCGCATGCGTGACTGGTTCGACTGACAGGTCCAAAACATAAAGCTCGGAGGGAAAATACGATACGATCTCATATTTTAAAATGCTTGTCTAAATAGTGTGCGGACGCATATCCGCTTCGATATTGAAACTTGCGGCGGTGGTGAAACGGATTATTTGCATGAGTGCTACAGAACATACAAGCGTGTACACAATGAAATTGTATTAGCGAGCCAATGGTATTGTTTGCCGAGGCGTAATTAGAGCCAGTGATAATTATGACAGTGGTTTTGTGTGAGGCACGTGTCTTATTCGATCGGAAGCCTCGGAAATTGACAACCCACGAGACCAAAACAAATTCTAAGCGTAAAGAGAGAATTGAAAGACCTGCGGGAAATTATGTGAAAACTACGCGCTGCGCGTAACACCTAAGAAGTTTACTTCGTCAACAATGAGAAGAACAACGACAAAATCCGATTGCAGAAAAATTTTTTTCTTTAGTGCTATTGTAAGATCTAGCGGTAACGTGCAATCATGATAAAAGGCTTCTCTCTTGCTTCCGACATTTAAGTGAAGTATTCAGAACTCTCTTTTGATGAATTTCCAATTTTCATGAATGCTTAATTTTTTGTTCTATAGATCGAGTACAGCTTGAAAATGTAAATGAACGGTTTCCTTTTAAGCAACCCAGTCACTTTCAATAAATAATTAATTCTCCATGGCGTAAGTTTCTTCGGCCTGCGGAGAATATTCATTGAACTAGTATATTCTTTAAAAAAAATTCTAAAGCAAAATTTTTCGATACAAGCATACTGTTCTTATTTTAATAGATAATTTTATTCATGTATTTTCTAATCCATCATCGATTTTCTCAATTTGTGACAGTCTCTTCTTTTTCTCGTCGAAAGAGAATTTTTCTGAAAAGAAAAATAATTTACAAGCAGAATGTAAGAGAATACGATCAATTTGATTTATTTTACATATATATGACTCTCTTTTTTCTACAAAATTCAATGTCTTTTCAAAAGGGAATAATTTATTCGGCGATCCAACAAGAAAGCAAGATAAGCGGAGAGTTTTTGACAGCTTATCTCGACGGTTAATGTTAAATTGCGCTCGAAGGCCGCGTATAAATAATTGTATTTTGAAATTTGTTTTCGGCCATTTTCGGGCTGTATGTTCTGTTTATCGAGCAACCAAATTTCTCTTCGGCGGTTGTTTCACAAATCCGCGCTGAAAATATGATTTTTTTCCTGATTCAGTAGAAGTAAATATCTTTTCCCAGTCGTTGTTTTCGTGCAATCTGGTTTTATCTCACTTGTTCCCAATAGCTTGTGGTACATTCAGTAAGTTGTTTATCCTCAACGAATGAAGCGTCGTTCCTCGAAAAAATTTCCATCATAGTTTGAGCGCTTCTCCGTCAGAATGATGTGGAAACATTGGATGTCTGCCGCACTCTTGGCTGACCACAGGCGAAAACCGTCTTGCCAAATTCGTTTTTGTACTCCTCTTCAGTTTTCTAAAGCACAAAAGAAAACAAGATGAAGTTAGAGGTTGTACAAAAATTATTAAAATCGATCTCGATTTGAATGACTGAAGGTGCTCGCTTTCGTGAAGTAAATGTCGCATATTGTAAGGGCGTTACCCTGGCAAAACACGTCCTTGTAAGCTCGATCTTAACTGTGTTCTGAAAATGGCTGTTATTTTACTCTACCTATACGTTAGGAAAAGAAGAATAAGCCGAGCAATGTTGTAATGATGATATACCCATCTGTTTAAAAGCGGAAAGTTATTCCTTCTTGAACTTCCTGACCAAAGATGTCGCTAGCTTGTCAATGAAAGAAAACGTTTATAATGCTAAACACATTGTTCACCGTTTAAAAATGGTAAAAATAAGGAATACGCAGAATTATTTCAGCCGTCAGGAAGAAGTAGGAGACTGAAGTGTTTCAAAATAAAATTTTTAAATTTAACCGAAGCGGAAACAAGTGCTAGGTGATTCAGTGCGATGCCAAATTATTTTAACGATGTCGAATTGAACTGCGCCTGACGACGGCCCAACTTAACAAACACTTTATCAGCTACGGACGATACACACGTTACCACAGAAGTAAATTTTCCCCTCAAAAGAAGGCCATGAACCTAAAACATACGCTGAAAGACTCGTAGAATCGATTTTACAACCGACCGTCTTTAGGGCTGTTTGAAAGATAATGAAAGAAGTGCGTGTCGGCGCGAACGGAGTTGAAGCGGCGCACGTACGTACGATTGATCAATGACTGGCCTGTGATACAGTGATTGTAGTACTTACAAAGTCAGACGCGGTTATCCAACTCTGGGTTTGTGTACCAGCTGCTTCATGTTCAGTTTCCATTTGATGTTTATTGGCCATCGCCAGAACGTGTTGCAGGTGCCGTATGTAGTCGATTGCGCTACGCAGCGTTTTAACTTTGGACAGTTTCTTGTTTTTAGGGTCCGTAGGCACGTGTTTTCGCAGTCGCATAAAGCCGTCGTTGACCAGTTTAACACGCTTTCGTTCCCTTGCGTTCCGTCGCGCTACCACGGCCGGTTCTTTTTGCTTGGCGCTAGTAGCTGCCCTTCGTCGACGGGTTTGGCCCAATACAGGTGATAACAGCGATATTTTAGCTGGGGGCCTCAAAACATCCGAGCCTCCTTCCTCGGTCCTTTGATGCGGATAGCAAATAGTCGTCGTTGGGATTGTAAAAGCTGAACTTTTTGGCATATCCTTCACAGACATTGTTTACGCCGGACTCTCGCCCAATACAATGCAATGTTTGAATCGAGCTAGCGCCGGGCGCACTTCAATTTATACTCGGCTATACTCTGACCCTGTGCCAGGCTCGCGCCGTATGTTTGTTGTGCTAATTCAGTCAAGAGCTCTGACACGCGCCATGTCAAACAGAATAATTCAACTCTATTGGCTGGTGCCGCAAGATAATGACCAATGACAGCGCGTGAATGGCACTCGAACGGTTTCCGCGCGCAAAGACCGATTACGTTGTTGTCTTAAGCGCATATAGTACCGAATGTCATTTCCTCTATTACCCACCGTGGTTACAATTTACTTGCGTCGTATTTCCGCCTTGTTTTAACACCCCGGCGAAATGCTGCCGACATTTGTAGATGACCTATATTCTCCCATAATCAATTTCGCCAAGTCGTAATTTTCTCTGATAATGGGTCTTCTATTATTTTCGTTATTAATTAATGCTTTTTATAAACGACAAAGATATGACAGGACAAATAAAAATTGCTTGTACCCATAGAAAATTACAAAAACGTTTTCTTAGAACATGATGTGAAAATTGGTCGGCGTGTCATGTATATTGTAGTCACCAAAGATTATTTTACATCGATGTGCCTCTAATGTTTATCACTTTCATCCTGAATTCCATTCGCGAGTTTTTGGATTTTAATTTTCATTGTTTTTCGCGATTCTATTATGGTCGCTTCTGAAGGATTTATTAACAAGTGAAGCAAAACAGTCATTGATGAGAAGTTTTCATTTACAGACCCTGGTTGCGAGATCAATTTCGCTCTGTATGGGTTTTTTAATTGTTGGCGCCATCTGCCGCCTTAGAAGGGGAGACACGTGCCCTCAATAATTCATACTGACTGCGTTATGGGGCCAGAGGCTGTAATACGCATGCTCCGTGTGTGGGGAATTTACACCTGTCATACTAAGCAACGATTCTGGTGAAGTTTTGGTGATCAAGATTCGCTCCATCATGCTACGCTGGTAATTCATTAAAAATGAAGCCGTGAGTCTCCCGACAGATTGTGGAAATCTCGTTGTGAGTGAATGTTAACGGGCATTCTGAACCTACGTTTTCTTCTCTTTTTGTTGGCGGCCCTGTTTTTGACAATGGCCATTCATCGAGCTGAAAAACAAAACAATCTGCAGCCTTTATGAAGAATAATGGGGAAATTCGCCATGCTTAGTTATCAATAGACCGATTAATTATTGGTTTTGTTTCGCGCCTGTTTTGCTCTCAGCTAGACAAGTGAATGTTTGGGTTTTCTTCCTGTTTCGTGTCTAACGCCAAATAGGAAAACTCCGCCTAGGGCTTATTCTTTAAGTTTCGGATAACATAGTAACCACGTGACATTGCTTCCAGCTAAAACTTGAAATGTTGATGGTTGAAATGTCTTGACGAACGCAGTAATAATAGGAATATCACACGATAGGGATGTTTGTCGCATGATTCACGACCCAATATCACACACCGCTTTAGAAAAACCTTTCAGGTGTCTATCTATGCGTTTCACACTAAGGTTTCTTGTTATATATTGAGCGTTTCGGTCTGCGCTACAAAGCAGATCTTTGGAGACCTCCTGCGCAGGCTCATTTGACGTGTTACGTGAAGGACGGGTCATAGTTTACTGATCCCCGGCGCACTTTTCCTTTAAAGTCTCTCAAGATGCTATCGTCAGGATAATTGGCAAATAAGAAAAAAGCTTCTTTACTTGTTTTGAGTTAAGATGTTAGCAAAATAGTCAATATTCCATAATTGTACTTTCCTTGAGTTGTATAGAAAATTGCTATAGCTTTCTGAATAATACGAAGCCTTAAGTCAAATCAATTAAATATAGTAGCCCGTCCGTCCATTACTAGTGTTTAAATAAAAAATTTTGATATCGCCAAGGGGCAATATGTTAATTCATCGACGAGCCCTCCAACTAGTAACTCTATCCTAATTGATTATTACGACCAGTCAGCTTGTTAACTTCTCCAAAGAGAAAGGGGTTTTTTCATTGTGAACGCAATCTATCCTGACAATTTTCTGATGCTATGCACCAGTATTTGTATATATTGACCTGCTGTATAATTGTATAGTTAACTTTTTTTAGTTTTTTTTTTCAAACTTTTAGGATATGCGAAAGGTTCCTTACTTTATTTTATGTTATCGGCTACAGCAATAGTTGTTAATGACAAAAAAAAAAAAAAACCTTCCCCTAAGATCACTAACGATTGTCAAATTGTTAACCGAATGGTTAAGCTAATAGATGCAAATGAATCGCGGCGGCTTTGTTTGCGCTAATTTCCTTTTCGCCCACGCATAAACCGGTTCTTTAGCGGCATTTTACCGCGCTGTTTTATATGTCTTTTTTTTTATATCGCTCTGTTAGAGATGCCGTTGTAATTCTGCTTATTGGTCTTTTATGCTTATCATAACATACACTTGTCTGGTTTTGACATGTCCAGTTTGTCACAAAAGCTTAGAGTATGTATTAAGACACCTTTTTTTTACTTGACAATAAGTAGCAACACTGAAAAGAAAATTAATGATAAGTGCATATGGCAAACTTGTTAGCTGCCAAATCAAGTTGTCTCCCAGTCCCAATTAATCTTTGCTTCGTAAAATTGTTCCTCCTTTTGAATAGATTACGTGTTTGCCTCTGTTAAGTCTTCGACGTTTCGGAAACGGCGCGGATTTTTTTAAAAATTAATTTACATTAAATATTTAACCCAATAATAGCCAAACGTGGATCAAATGTTTTTGTTCGCCTTTTTGTCATCTGCTTACATGGCCTGCTAGTAGTTGTGGTAATGCCAGATCGAAGACTAAAATGTCTTCATCGTCAACCCGCTGTAAAATTCACAAGTTGAGGGATGTTGGCAAATCATCATAATTATGTACAGTAGGATGACATTTTGAAGGTTTTGAAAATTCAGTAGCTTATACACAGCAGAAATTTTCTATTTTTTTTTTTTTGAGGTATTGTTTGGAACTTGATATGGAATTTCAATTTGCACGGAGGTATTTGCCTCAGTCGAGGCCGCAGTTTTCAGTGATTGCTGAAACTGAAAGTGAATTTGCAGAATAGATCAATAACAAGTATTGCAAGGATGCGTTTAGAATGGATTTGAAAACGTGGTAATGTAGCTGCATAGTATCTACCGGAAAGTACTTCATTAGGAAAGCCCATATCGTTCACTGGATGTTTGCAAAACCGGCCGGAGACAGATGTTTTGCATCACACAGCCATTTCGGTCCTGACTGCTATGATTTAAGTCCAGTTTTAAACCTTTACAAGTATCTTTTTGATGTTTTCCGAGTGAAAATACCGAGGCAAAAACTCCAATGACTGATTTGTTTTTCAGTTAGCATTCAATGATAATCCTTTTGTTCCGAAGTGAGTGTATAGCGCATTATGTCGTGAACTACTTAAAAGATAAAATCTTTTCATCGTGGAGGAGTTTTCGGAACAAAAATGGTCTCTATCTAGAGAAATTTTCGAGTTTTTGATTTTGTCTCTTCAATTTGTCATTTAGATCACCCATCCGGCGTTTTGATTCCAATGCATTGTGTGGATGTAGCTGTAGGTCTGCCTCAAGGAAGCCATGCTGACATGCTACTAATCTTTATTTAGTAGATTTTATTTTCGATTTTTTAACCGTTGTAATGCGTTTCCTTCGTCTGATATAAGACATCACAATTGTGCCATGGAACTTTCATTGATGTAGTGGTTTTATATCCTAATGTACACTTTGGATTTACCAGTCGTAGTCGCGGTGCCTATGTAACAGCTTAATGTTTAACGATGTAGAAAAATGATTAATTTTCGTGGTTAGAGTAAGAGTTTTAAAGAAAGGACTAAATTTGACAAATCACTCATTGCCGCTGAACTCAAGCCGTTTAAGGGCCATCATCTACTCTATTTTGCTAAAGCCTTCTCGGATTTTTGTTTTTGTTCTCCTTTGTTTCCTTAAAAAGATGAATCTTCTTTTTATTAGTGGTCCTATAATTTATGATAGCTCCTCTATCATAGGCCCAGTTGACTGAATTTTCTATCATTACGATCGCCTCAGAAATAATTCTCAAGTGATAGGGACGATTATATAAAAACCAGGCCAAACGAACACAAACGACCCGGATGAGTTTGTCCTCGAGCCTAGTTTTCCAAATGGATAATCTAGATGCTGGTCATTCAAGTGTGGTCTGCCGCTCACATTATTATAGTTTTGAAACTTTGAGTTTTACGTGGTTTTGCCGATTCAATAACCAATAGCTTTGGACCAATCAGAGCGCGCGTAGTACTCAGGTTTTGTAAGTTGCGCGAATTCATGCAAACGCAATAAAATGCTAGAGTAGATGGGAAATCAAAACTTTGAGTACCATTTATCACCTGTCTTACTTGTATGTTTTTGTATGCTTTAGTCTGTTTTGTATATTTGGCCTGTTTTGTTCATAAACATGCAGTGTCATATTCAGGGCACGTGAAAAAAAAAATTGATAATTTGAAGTGAGTATTCCATTATCAGTTTGATATTTTCGGAAT